AAAAACTGGCTCAAACTTTGGAGGAAAAGGAAAACATGAAAAAGAAGAAAAAGAAGGAGGAGGAGGAGGAAATTAACAAAAACTGCGAAGAAGGTGATGTGATGCGCCGTTGATGTTGAGTGAGTGAATCAGTAGGGGATAGATGCTAAGTGATTTAGCATCATTTTCTNTCTCTGCATTTCATTAGTCTTTCTCTCATTATTTTTCTCCCTGCATTGCCTGGCGGTTTATGGCCGCATCACTTACCACAAGACACAGAGAGTCGGCGGAGTTACCATATGCGCATCAATTGAACTTGAACTTGAAACACAAAGCCCGCCGGCACCGGCGCCAAACGCTAAAGTTCTCTCTTTCTCTTTTTTCCAGCATGAGTTGTTTCGCCGACAAATGGTACTTCTTTTCTTCTTTTTTTCTTCTTCTCAAATGTTGCTAGTTGATCCTGGTGGTGATTAAGCTGATGGTGGTGATGATGATGGTGATCAGCAGCAAATGAACTGTGAACTTCTATTGGCACTGCTAAAAACAAACAAACAACGACAACGACAATGCTGCTTCCTCTAAGTCTGCTCAAGTACCTCCTGGTGCACAAGTTTCTCATCGGTGGTGATCTAGGCTTCAGCGGCTCAGTGCCCATTTTACATAATCATCATCATCAACATCAACAACACAGTGGTCAACAGAATGACAACAACAGCAGCAGCAGTAAAAATACTGACAATCTTAATTCGAATGAAAGCGATCAAAAACAAAGCTCTACAAGTGTCGTTTTAGTTCATCAATCAAATCAGTCAAAGTTGCTGATGCGTGAATTAACAAATGCCACACTAACATCTCTTTCAGCTTCTGAAAAGCCAAAACTTCTCTTTTCACTACTTCAACCACTTAAATCATTACGAAAGCCTAGTTCCTCCAGAAAAGTCCAGCCCCGTCAGAACTTCTGGGCAATTCCCTACGGGGCGCTGGTGGCGCTGAACGCCATCGCCGCCGTCATCACCTTCTTCCTCATCGGCCTGGACATTGCGGCGATGATCAGCGTCTCCATAGCCGTTCCCGTTGGAATCGGCTACATCATCCTCATCATCATTCGCATTATAAAGTGGATATTAGGTGTTGTACTAATAAAATCACTTTTTTGGTATAAAAGTTCTAATTTTATTACTTTTTTAAAATAGGAATCGTCTTTCGACTTCTCTTCACCGGTGGCTCCGTGGTCACCTACGGCGGCTTGCACTCTCTCTTAAACGGTCGAATCCGAGATCACCTCCTCTACTGGGCCAGCTTCATCCAACATCGTCTGAGGGAGAAGGGCCTCAAGAAGGAACGCCTCCTAGTCTATCAACTGCTGAGCCAGCGAGGCGAACTGTGGGAGGACTTTCTGGCCCTTAGCTTCGAGGACGTCCAATTTTCGATGGCCGACAAGAAGTTGGCGCACATGCAGAAGGAGGCGGATCGCCTGGAGCGGTATCTCTCTCTGGTCCGGTCAAGGTTGAACAGTGAAAAGTGGCAGCGGACCAGATGTCGCCTGGAGAATAATTGTGATGACTGAAAAAAAACTGAAAAAAAGTTTTGAAGTTTGTTTCGCAATTTTTTAGATCTTTTTTGGCGGCTAAAATAGCTCCTCACACAGGGTACAACTACTTTTACTTCTACTTTTTCTTTTTTTCTTTTTTGTTTATGACTTTTCTTATGTGTGTGTAAAACAAAACAAAATCAAAAGCAGTTGAAAACACTACAACTATAAAGTATTAAAAAATTTTATTTCAGCAGCAGCAGCAGCAGCAGTTCCTTCAGTTGATTGCTCTAAATTTGAAAACTCTAAAATTAGGCAAATTTTGTTTACCGAATGGNCATGTTGAGCTTTTTGGCTATCTTAACCAAATAAAAAGAGATTTTTGCAATGAAGTAGTTTCTCTTCTTCTTTCAACACCATCATCACCCTCTGATTACAGAGACAGACAGACTGTCTGGCTGACTGTCTGGCAGACTGTCTGATGCTGAGCATTCCCCTTCTTTTAGCAATCATCAATCGTCTAATTAGCACTGTGGATAGGTTCGTCTGAAGGAGAAGCGGAGAGGAAAAACGCCTTCAGGCGCCGCTAAAAATGTAAG